GGGTCGGTTGGAATTTCGGGTTCAACTACCTCCTACATACAAATATCTATGTCAACTTGATGGGCATAATTTGTCATAAACACGAAATGCAATGAATAGTTTTAAAAGAGAATATACCACATCCGAATCATAACCCGGACGAGGACCGACGGGGACGGATATCAAAACCATGGCACTATGCATAACAAATAACGTATGGGTAAGATAATTATACGAGTAACTATATATCCAAATCACACAAACATCATTTTTTTATATAAAACTTCATGACAAGAGGCTCACCACAAGGTGGTGCTGGTGACGGGACGTTGCGAGCGATTGACGGTGGTTACAACGGAGATTTAGAAGGTACTAAGTAAACCACACCTACATATGCAAAACTAAGTGTTATTTTTGACCTCAAATTGCATATAAATCAAATACTAGCACATATATATAATTCCTCCCAAATTACTAAACTCAAAAATCAATCACTATATAAAGCATTGCACGAGCTAATCTAGCAATGAGAGATGAAAGGAAAAAGTTGCTAACCTTTGTGATCATTTGAATGGATGGGGGCCTTCAAATCTTGGGCAAAATGTGTGATGAGCTTGAGAGGAAGAGGGAAAAGAACAGAGAGGAGAGGGGAAAGGGGAAGAACAGAGCGAGCTCGGGTGGACGAAGGGTCTATGTAGGACGACCTTTAGTACCGGTTCGTGATACGACCTGGTACTAAAAGTGCTGGAGGGGCCCCGGACTGACAACATCCTGCCACCACTCACTTTAGTACCGGTTCGTGGCACGAACCGATGCTAAAGGTTCGCCATGAACCGGTACTAATGAGAGCGGCCCGGCTAGCCGTTGGAACCGGCACTAGTGTACACATTAGTGCCGGCTCAAATTCAAACCGGCACTAATGTGCTTCACGTTTGACCCTTTTCCTACTAGTGTCTAGTAGTAACGCGGGTAATTTCCTAGCAGTAGTGCGGGGGCCTGCGCTACTGCTAGGGCGCTACAGCTAACTTTTAGCAGTAGCGCGGGCGGTACCCGCACTACTGCTACTTCTAGTTGTAGTAGCGTGGTTGACACCCGCGCTACTACTACTTAGTTGTAGCGCGGATCAGGGCCCCGCGCTACTAATAACTAATTGAGAATTAAAAAAATTCCATCCATGGTGGCTGCTTCTGCTGGGCGTCATCGTCCTCTCCATCCATGGCTGCTACTGGTCCTGGAGGGGATGAAGTTGTCCATGGTGATACACCTCTCCTTTGCTGCTGCTACAAAAAAAGAGACGAGGATTAGAAGAGGAAGAGAGAGATAGAGAGGAGTAGGTGCAGCAACTCAACGGTAGCTGCCGGAGTTGGAGCCGGATCCCTAGATGACGCCATGGATGTCGCTCTGCTCTATCTGGAAGATGAAGAGAGAGAGCGAGAGAGAGAGAGAGAGAGAGAGAGAGATTGAGAGGGGTAGGAAGAACAACTCACCTGTGGTTGTGTCCATGGCGGATCTGGCCGCCACCATGGATGGCGCTCTGCCTAAACTCCCTCTCCTTCCAACATTAGAGAAGGAGGAGAAAGGAGGGGGAGGGGGCTGCGGTGGGTGTGGAGGTCGCCGGATTTGGGGGAGGCATGATGTGCGAGGACGGCGGTGGTGGTGGATGAGGAAGGGAATCACGGGTGGGAGGGAGAAGCGGATTGAGAGAGCCTATGGAGAGAGGGCGGAGAGTGAGGAAAGAGGAGGGATTCGACCGAGGATATGGAGACTTCACCTACCTTGTACTTATTAGTAGCGAGGGGTATAAACTCGCGCTACTAGTATCAACTTACTAGTAGCGCGGGTTCATACCCCTCGCTACTACTATGGCATGTCTCGGGGGGCACGGTAGAGACTGATTAGTAGTAGCGAGGGTTAAAAACTCACGCTACTACTATCAACTTAGTAGCAGCGAGGGGTAAAAAAACCGCGCTACTAGTAACTAGCAGCAACGATGGGTATAAACCCGCGCTACTAGTAAGCGTCTGTCTATAAGCTTTTCCCTAGTAGTGAGAAGAAGTTTCAAAAGAATTCTGGATTCCAGTAACGGCTCAACAATTCCATGTTCAACAATGGGAAGTCATCAACATCAGGGCAGATGCAAAGCCGATTTTCATTGCATACTCATCTAGATGGTGCTACAACAAGATAAAAGAATACTGGAGCTTAATGTTGCATTTTTGACTAAGTTTATATGTGGAGTCTAGCTAGCATGGTGTCTAATCAATCATACTTCTTGAAGTTACTATGCGCTCATGAGTAGACTTGTAGACATAGTAGTCTTTTTATTGGGATTGACCTTTTGGCGAATAGTTATACCACCATTGCCCATGTTCTCGGGATCCGCAAGACATCATAATTAAGATCAGTGTATGTACTTCCTTCATCCCAGGTTTATTAATTGCCCATCGTATTTAGGTGAAAATATGACAATCTATATGACTAACAAAATAGGAAGCATATGTTACAAAATTAATACTAGTGGATTTGTATTCGACAGATGTTCTCCCGGAGTATAATATTTGGACATATGGTTCATCTTTTATAAGTTAAAAGTGAAAGTTGGGGCTGTATACCCCTTTATTTAACCATCCATTTTCTGCTTCAGGATCCATCCATAAATATTTTCTCAGTTTTGTTTCTCCATTCTCCAAAATAGAGCAGCGTATGGACATCAAACTTTGCCGGTCAACAACCTATTTGATGTTCATTGTGACACAAACAGTCAATTCTGTTGTGCAACATAAATACTTAACAGCAAAATCTCATTTCATAAATTTATATTAGGCCAAAAAAATCCAAACATGTTTTCCAACATTTTAGTTCAAAAGTGTTATCGACCTGTAAAGTTTGAAGTCAATAGGTTTTATCATTTGAGAGGAACAAACAAAATAAATTTGCCTATACTAAGTTACTACCTCCATCCAGGTTTATTAGTCCCCATCATATTTTGGAAGTTTGAACACATATTTGACTAGAAAAATGTTAATACATATCACAATAAATTATATTGTTAGATTCGTATTTGAATGTAGTTTTCGATGATATTATTCTTGTTAAATATATTAATATTTTATTAGTTAAAGTTATGGTCAAAATATGGCCCAAAATATGGTAGTAGTTGGATAGCGCATATCTTAAGGCAATAGTGGAGGGTATAGATAAGGAACACATGTAGTAAGCAATCCAAATATTTGAGAACAAAAAAAAGTGAGGGGTTCTGCGCCTGGTTTTAGAAAAGCCACTCTCTAGTCTAAATTTTGGTCAAAGTTTGACCCAAAATATGAGGGGTGCTAATGAACTAAGGCGGTGGAAGTCACTTCTAGAAACTGGTGAGGATTTTGTCTATTTATGGGACATATCGCGGGAACCGCTGTAAATATATTAGCGAATTAATTCTGTGCGAACATTTATGTACAGATAAGTAGTCATTTATTGTATTAATTGTATTGGGATTGTTTTCAATCCTTTAAAACCCAACCACGCACATCAGCGGGAACACACTACCCAGATCGAGAAATACATATCTCTCTCGATATGTTGGCTACCTTGTGAGTACCATTGAACTCTTCCAATCTTCGAAAGCAAGGATTTTGCTTTGGATCTCTTTTACCATTGGTCGTCATTCCACTAAGCTATTCAATTCCAAGGTCCGTTATATTCAACCATAGCTGATACTAGATGTAGTAGTACTAGATAGGTAGATGCATGGTTCGTACATATCCATTTTTTTTTATATGAGAAGTAGTAGACTAGAAGTACAGTACGCAAGAAGATCCATGGAGTTTTCACTGAAAATAAAAAGATGCATGTAGTTTTACCAAATAAAAAAAATGTGCGGCGCCATTCCGTAGGAATCGATCCTGCGGCGCCATCTAGTTTCTAGACATTAACCCAGAGGAACACTGTTTGTTTCCTCTGAGTTTATGGGAAGCAAAACATTGGGTTGGACTTCCTTTTGGGGGAAAGTCTGTGATGCAACTCCTGTTTGCCATGTGCTGGTCCAGGAAACAGGCCTAGGTGAGTTTAGTGTATAAAATCGTGTCTGGGCAGAGTAGTGTATTGACGTCTCCTTCTACAATAATTGTGTCCCACCTTTGGATAGGTCCGGCTGGTTCACTGGTACATACATTTTTGTGTTCATGAAATTAGTACATATAGTTTTTTTTTACCGTGTAATTAGTACATATAGTGACACAAGCACAATATATGATTCCATCTTATTTCTGTTACTGTAAAATAACGAAGCATATTGGGGTGCTAATGTGATCTTCTGTTGAATTGCAGGCAGTTGAATTGCACGGGTAGTTCGGAACTACAGTCTCGACCTGCAATGCAACGTTGGTTCGCGGTAACCACATCTTCGTGGTTGATGACTACAGTGTCATCAAGGAAACTGATATGGGCAAATTCGTAAGGTCACATGCCTTCCAAGTTGGTGGCTATGACTGGTCAGTTAGATTCTACCCACAAGGAATCAATGATGGATGCCAAGACCACATCTCTATTGTTGGTGAGCTTATGAACGAAGATGTAGAAGTGAGGGCCATATTTTATTATCGATTGATCTCCCCAGGAGGACAGTGTACAGAGTGGAAACGGATGAGAGTGTTAAACTTATCTAGTGCAGAGGGCAAATGTAGGATGGGAGGGTGGGAGAAGGTCATGGAGAAAACATTACTTGAAGCAGAGTATGTGAAATTTGACCACTTCTCAATCGAGTTTTCAGTCAGTGTTATAAAAGATCCAGTGGTGACTTCCAGTGACTTACTACTTTCACCCCAAGTGAAGCTGCCGCCATCACAACTATCAGCTGATTTCGCAAATATTCTAGAGTCAAAAGAAGGGGCGGACGTGACCTTCTGCGTCCAAGATGAGGCATTTCTTGCACACAGGGTAGTGCTTGCTGCGAGGTCCCCGGTGTTTAGGGCGCAGCTCTATGGCCAATGATGGAGAAAGAAGGGTGATCTCTAATCGTCGAAGATATGTTACCTGACATTTTTAGGACACTTCTGCATTTTATCTACACGGACTGCTTGGTGCTTCCTTTCAATGATTTCGATCAAGAGGACAGAAGAGAGATTGTACGGCACATACTTGTGGCTGCCGATCGCTACCGCATTGAAAGGCTGAAGCTCATATGTGAGGCTGCTCTTTGCAGGACTCTTGATACACAGACAGTGGCAACTACATATGCGCTAGCTGATCAACATCAGTGTAATGATCTTAAACAGGCATGCCTCAAATTTATGGCATCTCCAACAATATTTGGTGAAGTGTTGGCAAGCCAAGACTATAACAACCTCAAGAGAAAGAGCCCTAGTACAACATTAGAGATTTTTGAGAACGTTTATAAGTTCCCAAAGATCTAGTATGCAGGTCTAGTTCATCCTAGTCTTGCGACTGATAGATCGCACCTTTCCATTGCTTTTCCAGTGGTTTTCTTAATCATATGTTATGTTCATCATTTGTCTCGAATTTGACTTACTTTATTTCAAGAAATAAAGAATTAATTCATGTTATGCATGTTAGATAATCTTGTTAAAGATGGTTTATTAGTGTTAGCTAAGTTAATTAGCGATCAGGTATTGAAGTACTACGTACTAGTTGGTCTAGTTTCTGTAGTACATGTATGGCTTGGAGTAGTAGTCTGATTGGGATTGGTTAGCCGTGTCCTAGTAGTATATTGTCTACGTGAGTCAAGGTGTAATACAAGTCCGTTTAGGACTTGTACGTGTGGCCGTGTGCGTTGGGCTGTGTATATATATACATATGCCCTGCGTGAGTTGTACCGAGAAAGAAAACGGAAAATCAATAAATAAAAAAGAAAGGCACGACATGTGCCTTTGGCGAAAGTTTTCGCGTATGCTTGTGTTCGTCTATGATTTGATGTGATCGATCCTGTGGTCGAATTCCAACAATGCAAGTGCATATGATTTCTTACTTTACAATGCACTGCAAGACTGACATGTGGATAAAGTAACACGACACCATTATCTTCCCTTTTTCCAGAAACAAAGATTTAGGCACATGTAGAATATGAAATGATTTACACACTACACGTACCTTAATATTCATATAACTGATACTAGGTAATTGCACGTGCGTTGTTATGGGGTATATTGTATGTAGCCATTGTGATTTACTTGTTGGCGACGTATCAAGTTAAAACTGAAGATCAGAGAAAATCTGAATTTCATTGATATATACAGCCAAACATTGAACTATCACGAGTTTCCATGAGCCACAAAAGACAATTAATACTACAGTTTCCACCTATGCACCCAGAACTCACGGAAGCAACAAACTTGCAAGCCATATAATATTGTTAAATCGAAAAATATAATACCATCCGAGGAGAGGGGAGGTAATACTCCTGGGTGACCAGCTCGGTCTTGTCCTGACAATGGTGTGATGACACTGCTTACACGATAGCGAGACACTAGATAAGGCGAGGAAACGGGATTCTCTAAATGTCTCGCTGGGCTGCCAACGCCTGCACATCTCTCATAATATTTCTGACAAACTTTACTTTTGAGGTACTGATGATTACACAAATGACATGTCAATTAAAGTTGCTTCTACACTCTGACAACAGAAATCCAAACCAATCCCGCAATATCAACTTTCCCGTTAGCTAATTACAGTGCAAACCAAAATACAACTTCTGACCAATTACAGTGCAAAACAAGCCAAACCTGCAGAGCAGTATGACGCTGACGAGCGCACCATTCCGAGAAGTCTCGCACCGGCACAACCGGGGAACGAGAAGGGTGAGTCCTGGAGGTGGAACTCACAGCTGGCTGTGCTGCACCATTTGCCGTTTGAGCGGGTGGAACTCGGATCCGCAGCCTTCGCCAGCAACAGCAGCAGGTGGACGATAAGCCGTGGATTTCGTGGGCGAGTCCGTTATATCCTCAGGATAACGGCCTTAGGACAACTGATGACTCAGCCTTTACACTCTCTAGTAGTTTTTTTCTAAAGGGGATGACCCGCGGTCTCTGTATTTGGACGGTGCATGCATTTATGTTATTAATTATTCGCAAAGACTTTATAAAATAATACATCAGTACATCTGAAGCCATGATATTTACAACAATTTGTCGCTACTCCTATCCACTTGAAGAAGAGGTGTTGATAGTCCTAGCTGAATATCAAACAGACCTTGCATCAAAGCCTAACATCTAAAGCCGGAGACCCCAACCAAGCCGCATTACCGGATCTGGGAACACATTGGTTCGGCGCACTCTCACATGCCGCCGCGCCGTCTTCCACTTATGCATTGCCGGAGCAGGTACTGACGCATTGACCTTGCTAGGCCTATCGTCGACGTCACCACAGTGCGAGACAACGCCACCTCCCTACGCGTGTCCATCCATCATCACGCATTCGTCGCCGAGAACCGGCCGCGCCATGCCGCCTAGACTCCACGTCGTCGATGTGTCACACGGAATGCCCTCCACTACTGAAACCATCCACTAGTCCTTACGGCCAATGCACGCCTCCGAGAATGACGTCCCCACGGACAGAACGACATCTGAGTGCCGCCATCATCTGATCGACTAATCAAAGGTTTTCCCCGGTGGTAGCGAAAGGAGGTGGGAACTTCACCTCGGTGATCCCTCCAAGAAGGAAACCGCCAAGGGTGTCACCATCACCGGCTCCGGCCACTAGCCGTAGACAAGGTTTTCACCCGGATCTTGTCTCACGAGCATCCATCTGACATCATGTGCACTGGCCAGACCACCATCAAAGCCCCAAATCTGGCCTCCCAGATCCGGCGACCACCCGTAGTAGCACTGCCACTGTGGGAGCCCTGGCACACTGGTCACCGCCCATGTTTGCCACCACTAGAGTTCTGGGAAGGGCTGCCACCCAGTTTTTAAATCTACGTGGGCGATCGACGGCAGTGAAGACGAGGACGGGGCGTGACGGACCGCTAAACCTAGACAAATCTCGGAAAAAATGGAGCTCTGAGGTGGAGCTTCGACAGGAGAAAGCTTAACTAATGTGGCTCGGGCATTTCATCGAACACCTCACATGCATAAGAGGTGAGCTAGAGGACCCAAATGCTCTTCCTCGCCGGCCAGCAAAAAACAGAGCACTGGAGTGCTCTGCTCGCCGGCGGTGGGGTATATATAAGAAACTCATTGGTCCCAGTTCATGGCTAGAACCGGGACTAAAGCCCAGCCTTTTGTCCCGGTTCGAGCCAAGAACCGGGACCTATGTTTTTGGGCCAGGAGCGAGGCCCATTGGTCCTGATTCATGCCAAGAACCGGGACAAATGGGCCCAGACGAACCGGGACCAATGCCCCCGAGGCCTCGGCCGGCAACCTGGGCTTAGGAACCGGGACGAATGCATCCATTGGTCCCGGTTCATGGTAGAACCGGGACTAATGGGCAGGCCAGGCCCAAACGAAATCCCCTTTTTCTACTGGTGATTCTACAAACTTGTGAAATATTGAGTGCGAAATAATAAAGTAATTTATGTATATACACAAGTGTGACATATTAATATGGCATACTATTGCTAACAATAGTAGTGCATGTAGTGGAGGGTTTATTTATTTCAACAACCTTAGCTCTAACTAGATAAATAATCTAACAAAAGTGCTTAAGTTGTAGGCTAGATTGCATTTAGGTTGATTGTATATGATAATCTCATCTCCTCAACCAGCTTTTGTTTGTCTTAAGGGTTGGCAACCAGTTGTTCTATTGTTGTGGATGTTTTCTGCAGTGGACTATTAAACAAGTTCCATGCAACAAATACAAAATTAAAACCTAATTCTTTGTCTCCAAAATTATAAATGAAATTATCAGTAATTAGTTAGGGTTGTGACGATGAACCTTACGATGTAATTCACCATCAGGTAGGCCCAACTAAAGGCCTGGGTAGGACCAAGCCCATGTAGGGTAAGGACCAAGTCAAGAACAACAACAGGGGTGGCATCCTAGTCGGAGTGTGGACACCAGTCTGGAAACAGTCGCCAGCCTGGGGGCACATGAGTCAAGACCCTCGTCGGTAGGTTTATCAGTAGTAAGTTTCACATCAGGCCAATGGTTAGGAGCAATTAAGGAGGCATTACGCGTGGGCGTTCCACTATGCATTAAACATAGGCGTTATAAGCCGCCTCCACTAGTTGTTTATATGTCAGTTACTATTTACAATGGAAGAAACTGTTGGTTTTCACTATGGCGTTACACAGAACATTTATGACCAGCTTTTGTAGCTTCAGTGTTGGTGCACTCTATATAAGCGGCCTAGAGCACCAGGCCAGGGGTTTGGAACATTTTTAATCACACCTTACACAAGAGAACAACACCATAGACATGAAGTAGGGTATTACGTCCACCATAGAGGGCGTGACATGTATTCATTCTAGTGTACTTCCGTTGGCATGGAGCATAGAGTAGTTTGGGCAACGAACATATTGAATGGCTAAGGTTGTCCAACTGAGCTGAAATTGGCATGGAAATGGTAGTAGAAACTTATGTGTCTACTCAGCCGACAAATTTAGTGTAGTATGGTTCAATAATTTGACAACAACTGATAAACTACAAAACGGGACATAAATTGTGTTACCTCTGCTTTACTATTATAGCTTGCCTCATGCGCTTGCTGTTTCCTATTATCAGTTAGCAAGATACCAAGTGTGTGGTAAATCTCTAGCAACTGTATTTTCTTACCTCTGAGTGGCAGACTTTGTTTATATGGAAACATTAAAAAAAAGATTACCCCGGCCTATGCATCATTACAATGCACACAACCGTTTATTAAACAAGCTCAAGTCTCATAATTAAGTATTGAAATACAAAGCGCAAAATAAATAGAAAAAAACAGCCATGCAACTGGCCGAAATAGGGATATATGCCTATACACATAGCATACTATTAAAAACATTGTCGTATCACGTGTGCATATTGTTTCTATTTATTCCACTGCTATTTACTCTCTCAGATCACAAATATAAGATGTTCTAACTTTTTTTTCTGAATCAGATGTATGTGGACATGTTTTAGTGGTTTTATTTTCTTATTTCAGTCGACCATATTGAAATACCTAATACATTTTACATTTGTGAATGGAGGAAGTACGACTACAATTTACGGTTGAATCTATGCTCAAAGTCCACATGTCACAAGTAGATCCCTCCTGGATGCTTGATTCGGTGAGTACATATGTGGAAGCCCTTGATTTTGCCAGGGATGAGATTTTTTGTTTAACAACTGAAGAGAAGAGAGAGACCGACAACAGCGTACGACGAAAGCAATCCTGCCAAAATAGTGGAAATATGTGGGTCGAGAGGTGATATCACAGACTATTTTTCGTCTTATTTTCTGTCTTCTGCTCTCCTTGTTGAACAAACGCATG